ACCTTCACCCTAATATGGGTCCATGGAATCTACCTTCTCCCAAAATATGATCCCATGGACTTTACCTTAACCCAGGATATGATGCCATGGACTCTACCTTCACCCAGTATATGATCCCATGGACTTTACCTTAACCGAGGATATGATGCCATGGACTTTACCTTCACCCGGGATATGATGCCATGGACTCTACCTTCACCCAGTATATGATCCCATGTACTCTACCTTCACCCAGTATATGATCCAATGGACTTTACCTTCACCCAGGATATGATGCCATGGACTTTACCTTCACCCGGGATATAATGCCATGGACTCTACCTTCACCCAGTATATGATCCCATGGACTCTACCTTCACCCAGTATATGGTCCCATGGACTTTACCTTCACCCAGGATATGATGGCATGGACTTTACCTTCACCCAGTATATGATCCCATGGACTTTACCTTCACCCAGTATATGATCCCATGGACTTTACCTTAACCCAGGATATGATCCCATGGACTCTACCTTCACCCAGTATATGATCCCATGGACTTTACCTTAACCCAGGATATGATCCCATGGACTCTACCTTCACCCAGTATATGATCCCATGGACTCTACCTTCACCCAGGATATGATGCCATGGACTTTACCTTCACCCAGGATATGATCCCATGGACTTTACCTTCACCCAGGATATGATCCCATGGACTTTACCTTCACCCAGGATATGATGCCATGGACTTTACCTTCACCCAGTATATGATCCCATGGACTTTACCTTAACCCAGGATATGATCCCATGGACTCTACCTTCACACAGGATATGATGCCATGGACTTTACCTTCACCCAGTATATGATCCCATGGACTCTACCTTCACCCAGGATATGATGCCATGGACTCTACCTTCACACAGGATATGATGCCATGGACTTTACCTTCACCCAGGATATGATGCCATGGACTCTACCTTCACCTGGGGTATGGCTCTGCAGCCTTTACCTTGCACCGGTGTGCGGCTCAACTTCCAGCTCAGAATACTTTATATGGACTCGGTACATTGGAAATGCTGGAGCCTCATTTGTGAGGCACGTCACTGGGCACAAAGGAACCCTGGACACAAGCACCTCATGTCTCAAATGCATGTTACATACACATTGATGAAGTGCTACATTGTTGTTTGTTTGTTTGTTTTGTTACTTGCTTGTTTATTGAACAACTTCTCAGATAACGTGACAAAGTTCACACATTTCTATCTCTTCTATCACTTCAGCTGTCTACAAAATCAAAGCCGGCCTCAATTGTGTCCGACAATCACATGAAAGAAAGTTCAGATTTCTTCAAAAAACGCGACATCATTAAAGAGGTTTCTTTGCTGTAACTGGAGATCAGATTACCTGCAGCGGGGATTGTGGCATCCCCAGCAATTTCCCGTCTCAGTGAACAGGAAGTCTGCCCTGTGGCTAAGCAGCTGTATATCTATGAGGCTCCTGAGGAGGTCTTCTATCTTATTACAACACCCGGGCTGGTCATGGGGGAGGACACTATACCGGGTCCAACAAGCATCACATGCTATTATCACTTCCGACCACCCGGCTGGTGATAACAAGAAGCTTGCTAAGGCCTGGGGAGGTTATGAAAAGCCTCCCTGTGAGCGGGGTTGATCCCTACTCATCCATACATATCATCGGGCAGGTATAGAGGCCCAGCGCTCGTTCAAATCAGATCTTCATTGTAAGATTTGCTCAATCCTCGTGCACCACAAACAATTGTCTGTCTATGGAATCACAACGTATCGTTCACACTTTTCATTCATCCTTTCCCTGTCCCCGGGCTGCTGGTCTCATCCTACCTCTTTGCAGCCACTTCCTGTCTACGGAAGAGTGGCCGCACGTCATTTCTCTACGCCGGCTTCCTGAGGGTGACAACGGCGGGACACATATGTGCACTGCGTCCGTGCGGCTGCTTCAAGCGCACATGTGACAACGTGGGAGTGTTGTCATAAAACATGAAGGGCCTGAACCAGGACCTCCATGGCAGGATCATGGGGGGGGAGGGGTTATTCAACACACTAAAGGCTTTGTTTATTAAAGGCTTAGCTAAGGCCCCGTTCACAACTGGGCGTTTTGTAGCGCGTTCCTACGCTCTGCAAAACGCTCAAACACCGGAATCCCATTATTTCCTATGGGTATGGTTCACACCTGGGCGTATTACAGGCCGTATGAACGCGCTACAAAACGCCCTACGCCCAAAAAAGTACAGGAGCTTCTTTGGGGCGTATTTGCCGCGCGTATCCATTGGGATACAGCCAGGTAGCCCTCTGAAACGTCAAAAATTTGCTGTAGAAACGCGCAACAAACTCGCATATTCGATACGCCTAGGTGTGAACCCAGCCTAAGGGCGTGACTCCGGCCTTGTACGCAGGGGCGCCCCGAGGCTGGGTGACACCCGGAGCAGTAACCGAGTGTCACCCCGCCGAGACGTCACTGCGCATGCGCGTGACGTCACCATGCGCGTGCGCGATTACGTCATCCAGTATTCTGATACTTGCCGGCGGCCATCTTGGTGATGGACGCCGGGCAGAGAGAGGAGGGGACAGTCACCCGGCGGGATAAGGTATGCCGCCGCGTCCCCTCCTCTCTCCTGATACTGTCGGGCGTTCGGTCCATGACCGAGCGCCCGACTTTTCAGAAGGGGGGTGACACCAAAATGACTGTGAGTCATTTTGGTGTCACCCCTCCAATGGTGTCACCCGGGTGCGGGCCGCACCCCCCTTGTGACGCCACTGCTTGTACGGCTACTCCAGCCACCGCCATGTTTGGGGGTTAAATGAATCTCCGGATTATAACTACTCTCTCACAAAGTCGGTCATGTGAGCGCCACAAGCGCCGCAGCCCTGCCAGGGAAAGCCGCGTCTAACGCGACCCGGGTGGGTCACATGAGGTTTTACACAACTTCTAGCCCGTAGAAGGTGCGGGCCCGCAGGGAGCAAAGTCCACCGAAATCATGTCTGAGAGAAGTGCTCAGAACGCAGAGCTGACCTATTTGGGGCGTGTGACACAAAGGAAGCGGCACGGCCTGAATACAGAGCGTGTGTGTGTGTGTGCACATGACACGACAGGAAGTGAGGGCTGAGCGGAAAGTGATAGATAAATCAATTTATCAAATGGCGGTTTGGCGACCCCGGAGAATTGAATGGCCGCGGCTGTCTGGGGGGCGGGGGCGTAGATGCGCTGAAGGTGTTTTGCGAGGGACTTCTGCATTGTCACCGCGATGCAATCTAATTGCGCGAGAATACTTTGTAGCGACATATATGATTCGATGCGAGTACGCGAAAACAGGAAACGGTGGCAGCTCGCTTGCAAATCATCAGCCCCGATGGGTCGCTGCACTGGATGCACGGAGTCAATAAAGCTCCTTTCTGTGCTGAATGGTAAAAGTCGCCCCGTGGGCTCAAGCTGGCCGTAGGCTGCGCAATCTGATTGCACAAGCTCGTCACACAGGTTGCAATCCGATTGTACGATCTCCTTTAGATCTGCCGACGCGGGGCCGGCTTGAGTGGAGACAAATGGAGTGGACTGTTTTGGGTTCACAGTTTCGGTGAATCTAAGGGTCACCATACAGGTTTCCGATCTGACCGTAACAATCGACTTTAGATTTACCAAAGCTGTGTAGTATGAGGACCGACCTGATCCATCCAATCGATTTGTATCCAATCAGGGAGGCCCGTGCACTGCATAGCTGTTGGTAGATGGAAAGGATGTTGCGCAATCAGATTGTAACCTGTGTGAGGAAGGAGATTGCGCAATCAGATTGTACAGTGTATGGCCAGCTTCACACATATCCTTGCCTGCTGCCCCCCCCCTCAGGGCTATAGGATATACAAAGTATAAAAATGAAGCAATTTCCTTAGGCTGGGTTCACACCTAGGTGTATTGAATATGCGCGTTTCTACCGCGTTTCTACCGCAATTACGGTAAAAAACGCGCGACAAATGCCCGTTTCCGAGGGCTACTTGGCTGTGGAAACGCGAGACCAAAACGCCACAAAGAAGTACATGTACTTCTTTGGGCGTAGGCCGTTTTTGTAGTGCGTTAGGGATGGGCGGAAATACGGCAAGGTGTGAACCAGACCCATTGAATACAATGGGATTTAGATGTTTGAGCGTTCGTCGAGCGTATATGAGTATATGAGCCGGTGGGGTCTGATCCCCGCCACACATTGCAGGCGGCGTGTCCTGAAAACTCTGTCCCGCTGACGCACGACCCACGACGCGGTCCCATTTGAAATGCGTTTTTTAGCTCACCACAGCGCACGACCGACCTGGGAATGGAAATGAAAGGCGCAGTTTTAATAAAAGGCGCATGCAACGTTATATGATGGCGCATGTTAACATGCATGCAGTAACAAGTTACGAAGGTCTACATGCAGCATCAGAGCCGTCCCGGTTTGGCCCTTGCCGACCCGAGACGCTGCATCCAAGCCCCGCGTGGCGCGGTCTAACCCGGAACAGAAGGGCGGCTGTGCGAAGACGGTCGGCGCTATACACCAGCCTGTGTGGCCCGCTCATGCGTAAGCGGTCTGTTGTATCAACGCGCATGAGTTGTGTTAAGGCGGCACGTTTATGACGAATGGGGTGCGTTGGGCTCTACGGTACAATGCGTCGGCGTGCCCGTTCACAATGACCGCGCGCGGAGCAGGTGCATTGCAGTGATACTTTAACGCGTGCGTTTGCAGGCCATCGATATTTGGAAATCGGGGATGAGCGCCGACCACGCCCTGACATGCATCGCCCTATTACACGCCACGGCCATCACATATGCAAACTGTTCAACTCCGGTTGCCCGTAGCAACGAATCATCCGGCAGCTGCCACTTTTTTTGCACCCATGTGATTGTGGTGCATCAAGGAAACCTGGTTGCTACAGGCAACAGAACGCATTCCCCTTTAAGACAGGAGCGCCCTGGCATATAGATTGCAAGCTCCTGGGCACTCACACCCTTCAGATGACGTGTCACTGTGCAGGAAAACCTCAAACAACCAGGTAAAAAAAAAGGGACGATGTCTTTAGCGGTTCTCCGTCTCCTTTCTATCCCCTCACTTGGAGTAGAATAGCGAGCGGTAAAGGTGTGTGTGCGAGAGATACCTGGCTCCGGGGGAGGTGGCCCTGCTCCTGCCAGCTGTGTGGAGGGGCGCGGTGGCTGAGGCGTTTTAAATTCTAGCGGGCGTCTGGTCGGGTTGCCGACGATGTAACTCATTTTTACCGCCTCTGCTTGCTGAGCTTTGTAGTTCCTGGAAGATTTTCAACTTTAACATGTAGTTCTCTACGAGATTTTTTTTTTGGTATGAGGCGCACCTTGGCTTTGTAGTTCTCGCGAGAATTGGCTCGTGGCATGCTTGGATTTCTAGTTCTACGGGATATGTATATGAGCATTGTAGTTTGTAGAATTGAGGCTTGCTTGGCACTGTAGCTCTCGAGATTTTGGATCTGAGGCTTGCTTAGCTCCAGTTATCGCGAGACCTGTCTGCGCTGATTTCTCTTTAGAGTTGTCTGAGGCTTGCTTGGCTCTGTAGTTCTCGCGAAACCTTTTCTGATCAGGTGCTTGTAATGTCTCAGAAGGGTCTGAGGAATGCTTGGCTCTGTAGTTCTCGCGAGACCTTTAGCTCTTGAGACTTGCTTGGCTCTTTAGTTCTCGCGAGACCTGTGCCTTGCCTAGCGGAATTTCTCGTAAGGCTCGCCTGAGGCATGCTTGTCTTTGTAGTTATCGCGAGATTTGTTGCTGAGACATGCTGGGAGTGGTAGTTCCTTGGGCGTGACAGGGCTGCCCTGGGCAAGCTTGAGACTTGCCGCTTTAGAGAGAAGGGCGGGGGCCGGTGAGGTAAAATGGCGTCTACGGCCTTGTGAAGCCTCTGTTTGCTTGAGCGGAAATGTGACTGCTATGATTAACACTGTTGGGAGCCGGTGTGAGGTAATGTGCGGCTCGCTTCACTCCATTGAAACTTCGTGAGGTAAAAAAAAGCTGTGCGTCACTGCCGCTGGCGGGGCGTTGGCCGGCTGACAGGTGCCGCAGGGCAAGCGGGCTCCGCCCGGCTTTTGTCCGCCGAGGCCTGCGAGGGGGTGGGGAGCGCGGGCTCCCAGGGCGTCGCCGCCCATTATCATTGGCTGACGTCACTGTGTCGGCACGCCCCTCTTGGCTAGCCTGATACTTGGCCACGCCCCGCTATTGGGGAAAACCTACAGCCGGTGGGCGGTTCCCGCAAGACCTGTCACTACCATATTAGGGCACAAAGCTGCTGATTGGCTGTGGGAGGGAGAATTCAAACCGCCCGGCGTTTGGGCGTGGCTGGCATGACAGTTTCCGGTGTCTTGTCTGTGTAGAGAGGTGGGGTCCGAACTTTCTAGACAAGAGGAAGGTGATTGCCAAGTGTGTAATAGGGCGAGGCGCCTGCAGTCATGTATGAGTGGTGGGGGCTGGGCCTTGTAAAGGGTGACTCATGAGCTGTGTCCTGGGCCTGCTGCACTCTTCATTACACATTAATGCATTTTATTATAAATCTGAATTTGTTTTAATCATTTCGTGTAATCCACCAATGATGCTCCAGCATTTCTGGTGATGAGGCTTGCTGGGACCTGTAGTTCCACATGGGCTGTTTCCTATAAGTGCAATTTTGCACCCTTTATGCCAAAGCTGGCTTGTATGCATGGAGCCTGTTTGCATAGCAACCGGTCTTGTCTCATGTGAAGAAGCCTGTGGCCATGGACAACCTGTGCAGCTAACAGGATGTTCACTGCAACTTCATATAATCAGAAACTTTAATTTTTTGGGCTTTATAGACTTGCTCTTAATACTGATTATCTAAGAAGCTGGCTCAAAGTCATTGCAGCCAATGGGGTTACTGCATGAGGCCAGCCAATTGGATGCACGCAAATGAGGGCAGCCTAGATGAAACATGCATACACATTCAACTGTCTTGATGCATTCTATAGTATCTCATTTTAACGTAATTTAATTTTTTTTTAAACAGAAAAATGGAAGAAGAAATTGCCGCACTCGTCATTGACAATGGCTCTGGTATGTGCAAAGCCGGCTTTGCTGGAGATGATGCTCCCCGTGCTGTCTTCCCCTCAATCGTTGGTCGCCCAAGACATCAGGTATGTAAAGCAGAACTCTTGTGATCTCCCCATGATGTGGTCCTCAATCTCCCCCCATGTCTGTAACATCCTGCAGCCTTCGGGTCCCTAAACATCGCCTGTATTTTTCCTCCTCAGGGTGTCATGGTTGGCATGGGTCAGAAAGACAGCTACGTAGGTGATGAAGCCCAGAGCAAGAGAGGTATCCTGACACTGAAGTACCCCATTGAACACGGCATTGTAACCAACTGGGATGATATGGAGAAGATCTGGCACCACACCTTCTACAACGAGCTGCGTGTCGCCCCTGAAGAACACCCAGTCCTGCTCACAGAAGCCCCCTTGAACCCCAAAGCCAACAGAGAAAAGATGACACAGGTTTGTTTCACCCCTCCCCCTCCAGGAAGTCCAATCCTCAGTTTTGGGAGACCTCTTATCAATCTAATTTCTCAGACTCCACATTTTTCTTTCAATGTTTCCAGGGCTCTGTTCCTCTTCTGGCATTTCCCTCCTGAAGCCTCAGGTTTCTGTTTTCACTGGTTTTATTTCTGCTTGTTCTGTTCTTTTCTACACTTTAACCATTAGCTTTTTTTAACCTGCATGTTAGCATGGTTTGGGGTGTGCCGGCCCAGAGCTTGTAGTAATGGAACTTTCTCTTCCTGCAGATCATGTTCGAGACCTTCAACACCCCAGCCATGTACGTTGCCATCCAGGCTGTGCTGTCCCTGTATGCCTCTGGTCGTACCACTGGCATCGTGATGGACTCTGGTGATGGTGTGACCCACACAGTGCCCATCTATGAAGGTTATGCCCTGCCCCACGCCATCCTGCGTCTGGACTTGGCTGGTCGTGACCTGACAGACTACCTCATGAAGATCCTGACCGAGAGAGGCTACAGCTTCACCACCACAGCCGAAAGAGAAATTGTGCGTGACATCAAGGAGAAGCTCTGCTATGTCGCTCTTGACTTTGAGCAGGAGATGGCCACCGCTGCCTCCTCTTCATCCCTGGAGAAGAGCTACGAGCTGCCCGACGGTCAGGTCATCACCATCGGAAACGAGAGGTTCAGGTGTCCAGAGGCCCTCTTCCAGCCATCCTTCTTGGGTAGGTATAGTTAGGAATTGAACTTGGTATTGCAATAGATCATGACAACATTGCATGTGCATCAGCCTTGTGTGTGGGCATGTCAAATGCATCGATTACTAATGTATCTTAACTTATCTCCATAGGTATGGAATCATGCGGCATTCACGAAACCACATTCAACTCAATCATGAAGTGCGATGTAGATATCCGTAAGGATCTGTATGCCAACACTGTGCTGTCTGGAGGTACCACCATGTACCCTGGCATCGCTGACAGAATGCAGAAGGAAATCACTGCCCTCGCCCCTAGCACAATGAAAATTAAGGTAAGAATTGGCAAGTTTCTCCTGCTCTCATGGGTTCAGGTCTCACCCTGGGTAGCAGGAACTTGGTCTTATGGGTTCAAGTCCCACCATAAGGGGGGGGGGGGGTCTTAGTCTAATCATGGGTTCAGGTCTCACCATGAGGGGCAGCAGGGGGTCTTGGTCTCATCACAGATACTAACCAGACTTTTTTTTTTTCTTCCCTTCAGATTATTGCACCACCTGAGCGCAAGTACTCTGTCTGGATCGGTGGCTCCATCTTGGCCTCCCTCTCCACCTTCCAACAGATGTGGATCAGCAAGCAGGAATATGATGAATCCGGCCCATCCATCGTCCACCGCAAATGCTTTTAAACGGACTGCTAGCAGATGCGCGTTGCATTTGCTGCATGAGTTGTTCAAAGTGTTAAAAATTTGCTCCGGCAAATGTGTACGCCTCATGCTAGCCTCGTGAAACTGGAATAGAGCCAACTTCCAAACGAACTTGCCCTCCGAATGTGAGACACTCTAAGTCACCTGTCGTTGGGGGATATATTTTTTTTTCTTTTGTAAAGCAAGACTTGGAACTGTCTCTTCGAAAAAAACTATTCCTGTGGTGTCAGTGCTAGCATATACCCTGTACACACCTCTGATACAAAACTCCGCTTGGCATTCGCTCTCGGGTGTCTCCTCTTTAAGCTAATGTCTAAGAATGCATTTCTGTGAAAGGCTGCCGATCTGCGACAGTATTGTGAATGACACTTCTCCTGGCGCTCAGGGGGAAGTCGAAGTGGGAGGTGTGTACAGGGTATCTCGAGGTTTAGGCTTCCAGATAACCAATTTTTTTTTTTCTTCTAAAGCGCTTGATATTCCCAAATTTCATGTCTGAGGCTGGTAGGAGTTCATGAAGGAATTCTCACTCCTGTCTTGCTACGCTCTTTTCTAGTATGGCTGGAAGAACAGCGTCCAGGCCTCAGAACCAGGTTTTTGTTTCCTAGCCCACTTTGTATTCCCAGCATCCATCACGGGTCTGAAGAAGTTACAACTTATTGCAGTTACACCTGTAAATTTTTTCATCCGAGTTAATTTATGTAAATTTTTTTGTATGTTGCCTTAATGTTCTCACATGACAGTAGACAAACCAAAATTTGTAAGTCATCCTGAAGTTTGAAAAATTTGTAACTCCCAGAAACACTTCATTGTGTAAGGAAAATAAAAGCGCTGCAGTAAATAGATCTCTTGTGTGGTTGTCCTGAATTCCTATGGTTGGGGGTTGGTTGGCTCTTGGGGGTTGGTTGGCTCTTGGGGGTTGGTTGGCTCTTGGGGGTTGGTTGGCTCTTGGTAGACAGCCTCTAGTTATTGGAGGTGACAGGGTCAATAAAGGGAACCGGTCACCTCCAAAGGCTATCACACAGGTGCTTGTTAGCTAGCTCCTGTGTGATAGCAATAAAGTTAAGTGAAAAAAACGATAAGTTAAAAATTTAAAAAAGTTAAAAAAAGTTAAAAAAATAAAGAAACAATAAAAAAATAAAACTAACGTATGCTGTAATCTGGTTCTTGAGGGGCACCATTCAAATTGCTGGGGGGGCGCGCGCACACAGGTATCTGAGCTCTGACCTCCAGTTGTGGTGAGACTGATATCATGGCTTTGAAAGACTTGACGACAGTCCCAAGCATGACTCCCAGAGTCCAATGCATGATGCTTGTGTCCACATATGGAGGTCCTTAGTTTGGTCACACTAGGTCTAGAAGAATCTTGTACTGACTCTGGGGACCCAAACATCTTGCCATGCTTGAGGTTGTGTCCATATCACGAGGCAAATAAGGTAATCCCAGGAGCAGGTTCCTAAAGGTTTTCAGGCAAAGATTTCAAAAAATTATAACTAAAAATCCTCATTCTGGTGGTGAAGCTGAGCATTGGACACGCACGCTGAACATGAAGGTCTACTGACCTAAGTAGGACACCAGAGCCTGCAATCTACCATGGCAGACTTTCTGTAATCCCCCCCCACCCCTTAGTATCACAGAAGTACATGGAACATGTTGTGCACAAGTTGGTTGGCTCTTGGGGGTTGGTTGGCTCTTGGGGGTTGGTTGGCTCTTGGGGGTTGGTTGGCTCTTGGGGGTTGGTTGGCTCTTGGGGGTTGGTTGGCTCTTGGGGGTTGGTTGGCTCTTGGGGGTTGGTTGGCTCTTGGGGGTTGGTTGGCTCTTGGGGGTTGGTTGGCTCTTGGGGGTTGGTTGGCTCTTGGGGGTTGGTTGGCTCTTGGGGGTTGGTTGGCTCTTGGGGGTTGGTTGGCTCTTGGGGGTTGGTTGGCTCTTGGGGGTTGGTTGGCTCTTGGGGGTTGGTTGGCTCTTGGGGGTTGGTTGGCTCTTGGGGGTTGGTTGGCTCTTGGGGGTTGGTTGGCTCTTGGGGGTTGGTTGGCTCTTGGGGGTTGGTTGGCTCTTGGGGGTTGGTTGGCTCTTGGGGGTTGGTTGGCTCTTGGGGGTTGGTTGGCTCTTGGGGGTTGGTTGGCTCTTGGGGGTTGGTTGGCTCTTGGGGGTTGGTTGGCTCTTGGGGGTTGGTTGGCTCTTGGGGGTTGGTTGGCTCTTGGGGGTTGGTTGGCTCTTGGGGGTTGGTTGGCTCTTGGGGGTTGGTTGGCTCTTGGGGGTTGGTTGGCTCTTGGGGGTTGGTTGGCTCTTGGGGGTTGGTTGGCTCTTGGGGGTTGGTTGGCTCTTGGGGGTTGGTTGGCTCTTGGGGGTTGGTTGGCTCTTGGGGGTTGGTTGGCTCTTGGGGGTTGGTTGGCTCTTGGGGGTTGGTTGGCTCTTGGGGGTTGGTTGGCTCTTGGGGGTTGGTTGGCTCTTGGGGGTTGGTTGGCTCTTGGGGGTTGGTTGGCTCTTGGGGGTTGGTTGGCTCTTGGGGGTTGGTTGGCTCTTGGGGGTTGGTTGGCTCTTGGGGGTTGGTTGGCTCTTGGGGGTTGGTTGGCTCTTGGGGGTTGGTTGGCTCTTGGGGGTTGGTTGGCTCTTGGGGGTTGGTTGGCTCTTGGGGGTTGGTTGGCTCTTGGGGGTTGGTTGGCTCTTGGGGGTTGGTTGGCTCTTGGGGGTTGGTTGGCTCTTGGGGGTTGGTTGGCTCTTGGGGGTTGGTTGGCTCTTGGGGGTTGGTTGGCTCTTGGGGGTTGGTTGGCTCTTGGGGGTTGGTTGGCTCTTGGGGGTTGGTTGGCTCTTGGGGGTTGGTTGGCTCTTGGGGGTTGGTTGGCTCTTGGGGGTTGGTTGGCTCTTGGGGGTTGGTTGGCTCTTGGGGGTTGGTTGGCTCTTGGGGGTTGGTTGGCTCTTGGGGGTTGGTTGGCTCTTGGGGGTTGGTTGGCTCTTGGGGGTTGGTTGGCTCTTGGGGGTTGGTTGGCTCTTGGGGGTTGGTTGGCTCTTGGGGGTTGGTTGGCTCTTGGGGGTTGGTTGGCTCTTGGGGGTTGGTTGGCTCTTGGGGGTTGGTTGGCTCTTGGGGGTTGGTTGGCTCTTGGGGGTTGGTTGGCTCTTGGGGGTTGGTTGGCTCTTGGGGGTTGGTTGGCTCTTGGGGGTTGGTTGGCTCTTGGGGGTTGGTTGGCTCTTGGGGGTTGGTTGGCTCTTGGGGGTTGGTTGGCTCTTGGGGGTTGGTTGGCTCTTGGGGGTTGGTTGGCTCTTGGGGGTTGGTTGGCTCTTGGGGGTTGGTTGGCTCTTGGGGGTTGGTTGGCTCTTGGTAGACAGCCTCTAATGGAGGCAATAACCTCTCATTCCAGTGCTGTAATCTGGTTCTTGAGGGGCACCATTCAAATTGCTGGGGGGGCGCGCGCACACAGGTATCTGAGCTCTGACCTCCAGTTGTGGTGAGACTGATATCATGGCTTTGAAAGACTTGACGACAGTCCCAAGCATGACTCCCAGAGTCCAATGCATGATGCTTGTGTCCACATATGGAGGTCCTTAGTTTGGTCACACTAGGTCTAGAAGAATCTTGTACTGACTCTGGGGACCCAAACATCTTGCCATGCTTGAGGTTGTGTCCATATCACGAGGCAAATAAGGTAATCCCAGGAGCAGGTTCCTAAAGGTTTTCAGGCAAAGATTTCAAAAAATTATAACTAAAAATCCTCATTCTGGTGGTGAAGCTGAGCATTGGACACGCACGCTGAACATGAAGGTCTACTGACCTAAGTAGGACACCAGAGCCTGCAATCTACCATGGCAGACTTTCTGTAATCCCCCCCCACCCCTTAGTATCACAGAAGTACATGGAACATGTTGTGCACAGCTGGCAGGACTAGTTCCTCCCGTCATCTGATATCCTGAGCTTGGACATTTTAGAGAACTCTGCCATAACCTTCTCTGTAGAAGATGGGGGGGGGGG